GCTTTTCGACGGTGTTGCGACCTCTCAGCAGAGATTTGGAGCTGCCTGGGAGTGCTGGCGCCGATCGCTCGGGTCCCTAATAGCACAAATTGTTGTTGAGGCTCTGCAAATCCCGGCGAACCTCAAATCTGGGTCGTTTTGAGGCTGGGCTAGAGCTTCAGTCCTTTAAAACGGAGTACCGTGGGTTGGCAGCGTGAATTTATATCCGCTGAGGATGCTCTGCGGCATCTTTTCATCACGGCTCCAACGCTGTTTGGATGCGCTGCGAAAAAGCATCCTCACGTGCTAAATTTTTAAAATACCTTCAGGTGCTGAACCTTTGAAAGGAGTGAAACCACAGCTTCTGTAGAAATACTGGGCCGGGTTTTATTGTTCTTGCAGCAGCGAATCATCTCCGAGGGCTTCCTTTCGCAGGGAAAGCCCACGTGGGTTTATTTGTTTTGGTGCTCGCGCAATTTCTTGATGAGTGTTGAGCAAATTCTGGTGCGAGATGAAGAAACAAACCACTGCTTTCTCTCTTTCTTTATAAATAAGAACATAATAGGGATTTCTTTGATTTGGTTCAGGGGAAATCTGTCTGCCTGTGTAGTTCCTTATCTACAGTTTTTAAGCACAATCCCCAAGCTGACTCTCTGGCTAAAATGCAGGGATAGAAAACAAATTATCTTTGTCCTGTTCGCAGCTCAACGGATAATTTGAGGATGTTTCCTATACAGGGACAGCTCTGCCTGCTGCTTTCAGCTGTGGTTTAAATCCATTTTGTTGCTTCTCCTCTGCAAGCCGATGCTCAGGGGAAAGGATCCCTCTGAGGTCTGTGCTCTGGAGGGTGTGAGAAAGGGCAGGAGGTCCTCGTCGGGTCAGTGTGTCCCTGGGGGGACTCCTAGGAGGATCTCTTGCTGTCCTCCCCACTCCTGCAGCTCCACGTTCCCTCCCAGTGAGCTGTGTCCTCGGCCTTATTTGCAGAAGGGATAATTGAAGCTAATTTCTTGGCAGAGAAAAAGGAGAGGAGCAGTAAGCGAGCGTAAAGCTGCTGCCAAGGGTACCTCTGAGACCTCCTTCCTCATTCTGCAGTACTGATGCGGACACTTGGCTGCTTTTCAGCCCTGCTCTGGCACGGGCAGAGGGCCTTAAATGTAGCCCAGGTCATCCTCATTTATCCCATATGCTCTTCCCTGGCCTTTGTGCCCTGGTGTACGAGTTTCCCGTCCTCCCATGTATAGGCTGAAATAGAGATGAGGGGAAGTCTCGTCTATTGCCATCAGTCCCCGTGTTTCCAGTCAGTTTAGCTCAATAGGTCGTTTAATTTCATCAGCAACTCATCCCAAAAATGCATCAGCTGTGCTCCTGCTTTCTGGAGGAGAGGAGGGGGAAGCCAAACTGTCTGCAGAAGATCCCTCTTGGAAACCAGGACCCCGACTTCTCCCCATCCCTGCTGGTACCAAGGATGCGCTGTGCATCCCAAACAAGAACGGATCTAGTGCTGATAACATTACTGGTCACTGTGTTGGAAAAAGAAATAGAGAGAAATGGATGGCTTAACAAAGGGAAACAAAATGAAGTGCTTTGTTAATCCAAGGACATAGCTGGCGCAGCTGGCCTTGTCTGACAAAGCGGAGATTTAAGAGTGAACCCTATTGAAGCACGTATAAATCCCATGGGAACTGAGACCAAAAGGTGATGAAGTGTTGTGGCACCAGCATCAAATACAGTTATAACGAAGAGTGGGCTCCGACAAAGGAGCAGCTGGACAGTGAAGAAACGTGAATTTTCTTCATTCACAGTGTAGTTGATATGTAATATTAACCAATTAACCAACATTAACCTTGAGCATCAATATGTACATACCTGAATTACCTGCAGGAGCGTGGAGCCTTGCCTTTTCTTCCAGTTCCATAAAACACTCCATCATGAACCACTCGGTTGTGTGGGTTTCTTGCTTTCTGAAATATGTCATCTCCACAGCTCGAAATTTCATCCTTGAGTGCTCAACAAAATCTGAAGGATTTTTTTTTTTGTCTTTTGGAAAGCTTTGGCAAAATCCAAAGGAAGCTTTGTAGTTAAGGTAGGGTGGGATCTGGCTTTTCAAAATCATCGTAATTCAAACCAAAGGTACCCACTGAGCCATCAAAAACTTGTAAATTATATGCGTAAAGTGGTTACAGATGAGTTCATAGGTTCTAGCTCTGTCTTAGATAGACATTTACAGGTATAAAAGTGACCAGAAAAATATGAAGTATGGCTAAAAAAACATACGGGAATCAAAGGGCTGAAGATGCTATCCTAATATGCAGAGTTAAGGTTGGATATTCAGATGATTTGGTTTTTGTCATATCCTTACCCTTAAATGTTTAGCCTTGCAAATTTAATAAAGCAACACACAGTGAGTAGTCACTCAAGCATGCATCCGGAACAGCAACAGTTTGCTTCAGGGAGGCGTTTGCTAACAGCAGGCTTCAAGTTAAATTCTTGCAATTCACGAGAACCCCTTAAAGTCGTCTTTTGGAAGAGAGTTACTTGCTGAAGGTTGTCTCTAGTTTAGATGGTCATGCGAAAGAGGGAGTTGAGGTTTCTGCAGTCAAGGATGTGTATTTAAAATATATATATATTTTTTTTTCTGTCCTTTTGGCACAAACTTGTTGTTGTTTGAGACTGTCAGAATTGCATTTGTCGCAAACAGCGTTTTAGAGTATCGCTTTCCCTAGAAAACCTGATTTGTAGGGGAGTTAAAATAGGAAATACACCCTGCTTTGTGTTATATAGATCGCAGCCTGACGGCAAGCACTGTATTATTCATGGCCAGACATCCACCCAGAGCAGTGCCAAAACCTTTTTCGGCGTGTGGGAAGGCAGCAGAGCCGTCCCCGTGCTCCAACCCAACTTGTAATCGCGGCTGTGGGCAGCGGCGCGCTCGTGACTCCGCATTTCACAGCTCTCGGATGGTGACTCACAACCAAGTGCTTTCTCTGCTGCATTTTGTATTGGAAAACCATGTTAGCGAAGGTAGAAATCCACCAAATGTTTCATTGCTTTGCTTTTCAGGGCGATTAATGCGGTTGCCAGTGGGATTTGACCGCGGAAATCAAGAGGAATGGTTCAGTTTGGGTGGAAAAAGCGTATCTTTGACATGTCTTCTACTCCCCAGGAGCAGAAGAGAGTATCTGGGTGTCTGTAGGTGGGCAGAGCTAAATGAGCTGTTTTGTGGCCACTGCGGAAGCCAATAGCACATTTTGCTTGAATGAATGATAATGAATTACAGCAGAAAAAATGCTTAAGCCTGGCTATGAGCTTGGCCACGCAGTTCAGCCTTGGGTTGGGCTTCACAGCAGTCACTCAGGATGCCCTTGCCTGGAGCCTTTTCACAGAATCACAGAATCACAGAATTTCTAGGTTGGAAGAGACCTCAAGATCATCGAGTCCAGCTTTATTAAGTTTCTTAATGAAGAAACTTTTCTTAATATTTTCTTAAATATTTTCTTTCCTTTTCTTAGTATCTTAGAAGTGCCCAAGCAGGGAAGCTTGCTAAGGCCTTTCCTGAAGTGCAGAAAGGATTTCATGTGTTTCCAGTAGCCAGAACAGATCAAAATTAGCCCCAACTAGTGGAGAGGGAGGCCAGCTGAACTGCCACTGCCCTCTTCCATGGAGCTGGAGATGCTCCTGTGGTTGAGCTTCAAACACGACCACGAGGTAAGGTTGCTCCTCTCAAACCATGGCACCCAGGATACAGCCTAAGGCAACAAAGTTTGTATTGTCAAGACGAAGAAAATCCTCAAAGAGAATTTTTTTTTAATGAAGACTATTTTTTTTTTGCCTTCCATGACTTCCATTGAGCAATTTAAAACCATTTCAGCGTTGTTCTTTTTTTTTTTTTCTTTTCTCAAGTGACAGTGAAGTCCCACAAATCTAGCGAGATGCTGGCAATAAAGCTGCTTAGATAGTGTATAAAACGCCACTGATGGGATTATTTTGCTGCAGTTCGTTGCAGTTATTATGCTCAGCAGCGTGATTCCTCATTGTAAGTTCATAAAAGAGCTAATGACAGGAAGTGGAGGTTTGCAAAGTTGAATGAAAGTGGAATGCAAATGCGTAACAAAAAGAGCAACTAATGATGGGAACAGGGTACCGAGGACCATGGTAAATGTGCCGTCGCTTGGAGTCTTTCAATAAAATGCACTTGGCTTCATCCAGGAGTTATTGTAATCAGACGTAGGGACCGTTGGGTGATTTTCTCTGTCCTAATGGTGCTCAAAAAGCCATCCTACCTACCTACCATCTCCTACCTGCAAAACCATTTGGGGGTATTTGCCATGCAAAGAGTTTACCAAAGTAGCTCTTTGTGGACATGAGGATTGGGAAAGTTAAATCTCAACGCAAAAGATGGAGCGTGAGACTGGAGGGAGCGTTTACACTCCTTGAAAGAGATTTTTCATTTTTATGGTGTAAGCACGTTTATCTTGGTCATCATTTCTCACCAGGTGCTATCTATAAGCGAAATAACGCACGGGCTAATGTGCAAAATCATTTATTTGTCTGTTGTGATAAGCCCTCAGGTTTCACGTGAGATTTCTTGTGATGCATGTATAAACAAATTTGCTTCAGAGATTGAAAGAGATGATTTACAAGGGAAGATTAAAAGTACTGCGTATCTGTACATACCCCAAGGAGATACGGAAAGCAGCTGCACGCCTGGGAAGGGTGTAAATGGTGGGGGAAAGGGCTGTGGGGATTGACTGGGATCAGGTTTGTAACTGTGGGAATGAAATGAAATGCCGAGGTTGTAAATGCAGGGGGAATGATATAAAAAAAAAAAAATCCCTGAGATAGTGGTGTCATGAACTGCAGCATATTTTATTCACTTTGATGAGACTTTCAAAACTCCACGAGACAACCGGCTCGAGATCCTGCCCTGGAGCAGTTCTGCTCTGGGTGGTTTGACCTTCTCCATCTCCCCCTTGCTGGCCCTGTGCTCTGTTTCTGAGGCTGGCTTCGTTTTTGCATTTCAGGGCTGCTTTCGGCAAAGAGTCCGAAGTTCTCATCGGCAACCTGGGAGACAAGCTCATCCCCCAACAGGAGATCCTGCGGGACGTCAGCGACCTGAAGGCCTTGGCCAACATGCACGAGAGCCTGGAGTGGTTAGCAGGTCGCACCAAGGCAGCCTTCTCCAGCCTCTCAGCCACCCAGAGTAAGATGGAAACCAATATAATTATGCACCTGGCGCAGGCGTGGGCTTTTCTTCTTGGTTTCAAAGGGTTTGTGTTAGAGGAGAGCAGAAAGCAAAGCAGCTCCATCTCTTTCTTCCTAGTGAACACCGTGGTGTGACATCTGCTCGGGCTGTGGTGGGGGGCACGGTGCGATGGTGCCAAGGGCATCACTCCCAGCAGAAGCTCTGCTGGGTCTTTCAAGGCTCGAGCTTTTCAGCAGTCCTTGCTAATGACACTCCACAGGAGCAGGTATCCATGCTGAGACGGGTTTCGCTTGCTTTAAAGCGTTGCTCGATCGCTGAATATTTAAAAATATAGGTATTATAAATTCAGCGGAGAAACTGAGCAGCTCTTAATGAGGAATGCCCTAACGTGCGTGTCACTGGGGTGCTGATGCTCAGCCTGCAGAGGCAGCCCTTGCTGAACCGAGGTGCAAGGAGGGCAGAGATGGGAGAGCCTGGAGACACCGCTTCTGCTCCTGACTGTCAGGGATCACCTGCAGTACCTTTGTGAGATCGTTTCACTTCTCTGTGCTCCAGCTTTCGCTCCTCTCCCCTGAGAACAGTGATTTTTTTCTGTCTGGAAAGTGCTGGAGACGTGATTAGTGTTGCTTCTCCTTTTATCACCGTCGTTGGTGTTGTCTGCCCAGGGTCACGTTCAGAGGAGGGCTGTGGCTGTGCCCCAGCAGCAGAGCTTGGCACAAAGAGCCCACAGCTCCTCTGCTGCCTGACTGAAGCCTTTCTCCTAAAACATATTAAGCTGTTTTAATCACGCAAAATGCTTTTTAAGAACAATAGGCCAGTTGCAACATGACAGGGCTGCTGTTTGCACGTCGCCGGGTGCCTCAACGCCGTGAATGTCAACAGATCAGAACGCGTGGCGTACCAAAGGTGGTGTCTTTGACCTGCTGGCTGCCTCTGTCACGTTGCATAGCAGCAGCAAGGCAGTCCACGGCATGCAGCTAAGTGTGATTATTGCTCTTCTCCATCAGTTTAAAATCAGTGGCTCATCAGCCCTCCAGCAGTGCACTCTCCCGGCTGTGCTCCGATTGCTTACAACAGACTTAGATAAGAGAAAGACACCGACACCATGCCAATACCACATCCTTTTAGGTCTTACCACTTTCAGAAAGTTTTGCTTATGTGGCCAGCAACAGGTGCCGTAAAGAATTAGACGATGCACGTGTAAATGTGTGCCGTCTCCTTGCGTCTCGTAGCACCTCTGCTTTTATTAACTCAGCTGGCACAGAGCTGAGCTTTTCACAAGGCCAGGGATTTGCACCTCACATTCCCAATAGTTGTCCTGCCTCTGAGGCTGACCCCAGCGAGGTGGCCATGCATTTTTAAGAGCAGCGGGACCAGGGGCAACCACATCTTCTGAGCTTCTGGGTGGATTTTGCATCGAAAAATCACTTCTGCCCTGTTTTCTGGGGAAGTGATGGAGGAAATTTGCTGGTGCTAAATTGGAAAAGTCTTAGGTGCTACATCTCGGTTAAAATAGTTGCTCCTTGACAACACAGCTTCTCTTTAATAGTAGTCGGGCTTTATTTGACTGTGTAGGAGAGCATCATCATCATCTGGGTGAGTGAGGGTCCGTCCTTCTTATGGCTTATATCTGCTCTAGGAGCACGACCTCTGAACTCTTTGATCCAATTGTCCCTGATCCATTTGTTGGGTTCCAGTAGGATAATTAAGATTCTACAATCAGCAAACAATTAAAGATGTAAAATACCACAGGTAGCTTTAATATTTCTATAACCCTTACTGTGAGCTCTGGAGGATACCTGAGTGACAAGAAGAACTGCTGGGCTCTCACGGTGTGTACTTTACAAGATTAAAATTTAAAAAAAGAAAAGAAAATAAAAAAGAAAGTAAAACCCGATGGAAAACGCTATTAAAATTCAATAGGCAAATACTTATTCCCAGAACTTTAGTAACCAGAGGAGTTTTGGGGGCTGAGGAGTTACGCTCCAACAGTCAAAGTTGTTAGAAATAAAAACATCATTCATAATTTCAGTTCTAGTTGAAACTCAATTTTTTTCAAAAATCAATGTTTTCCAAACATAAAAGGGCATGAGCATGACTTTCAAGCTTCTGAGAGGACGTTACATGCAGCAGTGAATAAAAATAAAAGTATAAAGTGTAATACTTTACTTGTCAGCATCCTCCTGACAATAAAAATTCATCTTCCTTTGTAATAACTTCATACCAATGCGCTAAAATGTCTGTACACAAATGCCAGGAATATCTGAAACAGGAGGAAGAAGGAGCCGCGTTAGAAAATGATAGAGGCTGTTGACCTCCTGGTTATAAATGAAACCTGGTGGAGTATTTCTCGTAAATGAAACGTCAATAGAGCTGACTGCAGCCTGTATGGGAGAAGTAAAAAGTGATGCTGTGGGGCAGAGGTGGTGGAAGTCAGATGTATTTACAAACCCAGCCAGCTCCGCTGATATACAGGGGAGTGCGATCCTCCGGGGGAAGCGTATAAAGAATAAAGAACAGAGGAGAAACGAGATGAGATTTTTCTTTTCGTCCCACCTGGACTGAGCAGGAGGAGGAAAAAGGCAAACCAGCTATTGTTTCCGAGGTTCATACAATGTTAATGCCAGTAACGCTCGGCTGTCATGCGAGTTACTCTGTTCTTTTCTGGGCTGGTTTGATCATCTGAATTTCTGAGAATCTGATTGCTGCAAGCCACAGCAGTATTAATGAGGGTGAGGGGAGAGGGAGGGAGGGGAATAAAATGACCCAAAGTAAAGCTAAACGAAGGAGTTTTCTGCCACTCGCTGAAGCTCACCACATTCAGACTCGGGTTGCCATAAGTGGAGCCAGCTTCATCATTTTGGCATCAGTAACTTCGATTTTAAGGCATGCCCACGTGAAACCCAAGTATTTCAGTTCAATACAACTTGAATCTGTGGTTTGTTATACCCGAATCGACAGGCCGTTAGTCACCTGCAAAGTCTTTTCTGTCCCAACAATGTGAGGTTAAATCTCAGCCCCGCTCAGGGCATCATCAAAGTCCTTAGTGAGTGACCAAGACCAGGATTTTTGGTGCATTGCCAGAAAAAACATAACCCCCAAGTCCATAACACGGTAGTAGTGGCCCCGTTTCCCTTCCTTGTAGAAAGTCGGTAGCATTCCCAGCAAAGCTTTCTTGGCAGTTTATGGCCATAGCTGCAAATATTCAGAAACCACAAGGCAGAGCTGGTCGGGTGTGGAAGTGTTTGGGGAAATCCTAAAAAGGGTGCTATACATCTGTGGCTTTTTGGTTCGGCTGTCAAAAGGCCCCTTACTACAGATAAAAATTCAATAACCTTTCGCTGTGGATGTGCCACAATTATCACTCATTTAAAAACAGTCTTGCTAATAGAGTGTTTTATCATGCTGGGCAGTCTCTGCATTCTTCATTATTTAGTGTTTGCTAAGCTGATGGCTCTTCCATTGCTCTTCCCTTATCTGCACTGCTTCAGAATTGGATTTTATATTTTCTGAACCAGTCAGATATGACAAAGTCATTTTCTTTTTCTCTTGTCTTTTGAGGGAATACAAACTTCTTTTTTTTTTAACAATAACAATTTAAGGATTAAAGTTGCTGGAAGTGGATGAATTTAACTGAGGAAGTCACGTCAATTTGGAGTCGGTTTTATGTGAAAATGGAAGTCGGGTTTCCTCCCCATTTCCTCTCCTGCTTCTCTGCCTTGCCCTGGGTAGATACAACAAACCCTCAGCCTTTTCTCTTCGGGGAGCTTCAGCCTTCTGAAGCCCTGTGAATATTTTACAAAGAGCGAATTATTATGCATGATGAAGAAGTTGGGCCAATCTTTACATTTTTAAGGTGGTTGCCTGCTGTGTGCAGGTAGGAAGATGAAAGATTAGCCATTAGCCAGTGGAGCTGCAGCTATCCTTTCACGTTCAGCTGCCTCTTGGCATCTTGTGACTTCAGCAGTTACCGACCGGCTGTCTTAAACACTGGTTTTAAGATGACTTTCTTCCTGAACTTACACGAAACAAGATCATCTTTCTCTTCTAGATGGCTTATTGGAAGTAAAGTCTTTGCACGTGTACAATGTGCCTGCAAATGCTTACAGATAAACAGATTCTCTTGCATCCACCCAAAGGTTGGTCAGTGTATTGCGTTCAATTTCTATGTGTGCTTTCTGTTTCTGATCCTTAATGAAGAATATTTTTAATGCAATTTTAGTACCTTGGCAGCTTGAGCTAGAAAAACAGGACTCCAGCAGTAGTCTCAAGAAAGACATCTCCTCCAGTCGTGTCCTTAATCTACAAATTAAGTCTCCTTAGAAATGGGTCCTGCAACTCCGTGTTTATTCAAAGTAGGGAGGTCCAGCAAAGAGCATCACAAGAGGAAAAGCTGGGCCAGGAATGTGTTGAAATGAAGACAGAAATGGGAAAAAAAAAGTCTTGAGTGTTTTTATTATGTGAAGTTTGTTGAGTTTTTTTGTAGCATCCCGGGTCCTGGATTTATGCAATTAAGTGAGAATCTTGCTGTATTTGAAAACCACACACATGCATGCACATTTATCCTTTTTCTTAGCAAAAAGCTTCAAAAGTAAGATGGACTTAAGACATACTGTTTTTAACAGCAAATCTAAACCAATGATTACTTGGACTGTTGTCAAAGCTCTGGGTTTTCAATACCTGCTCCTCTTTGTCTCGTTGCCCTTCAAAAGTTGGCACAGAAGCAAAGCTTCCTTAAAAAGCAAAGAGTCAAAATCTTCTGCACAACCCTGGCTTCGAACAGACTTCAGGCTGACCATTTGTCTACAGTGGCAGAAACTAGAAAGTGAACCCTAAATAAATCAAGGGCAAACGTGAGTACAAATTCGGCATTAACGCCTGCAGCCCACCTATGGGGGAAGCACCCTGGTGCTAGGGGGGATGCACAGGAGACCTTTAAGAGCTGGTTTCATCACTGGGACATCCAAACCCTGCTGCTGTCCGCAGAGCTGAGCCAC